CCATGATTAATGCCATCATTCACTGTTAACTTATAAGGAGCACTTAACTTAAAAACATAAGACTAGAATGACCAACTGACCTGAATGTTAGCTTAAAAAGCTCAAATCACATTGATATTTAAAATACATAATGACTGTTTGGTAGACCCACTCATTTAATACACATATTCTGGAGACAGACCATTACATTCGACGAGGACTTTGGCTCCTTCGTTGGAGCTATGGCATGAAAGCTGAAAATGCAGTGAAATGAGATCTGCTAAATGATGCTGCAACATGACTGCACAGTAGCAGCATGGAGCTTCACATGGGCTACAAGAAATGGCAGCAAACTTCATCATTTTAGTCAATGTTTTAGGTAGTATAATTATAGTTTAGGTAGAAAAATATTATTGTTTTATGTGTAGCCTTCCTCTATGAAAAGGAAGGAAGAAATTGATGAAAATTGAGAGAAAGAGAGCATGGTTTCTCCTTTCCGGTTGGGTGAATGTCTGCTCCCTTCCATGTTTATGGCTATTATGTTCTATGTTATGATGTGTTGTTTCTGCTACAAATAGCAGAATATCAATAAAAGCAAATGGGTTCTAACCTCACCAAAAGAGGAAACTCTGGGTGTCTCTACTTCTCCTCCAAGTCCTCTCTCAATCCCTCTCTTCTTACCCTCAAAAATCCAACATGGTATCAGAGCTGAAATCTTGAGGTACCTATGAGAGTTTGTTTTTTGAGGGAAAAAAACCCACCTTTCTCATTGTTTTCAGATGGTTTTCATGGGAAACCCCTCTTGGCCAAAATCTTGCAGCAAAAAAGGCTGTGAAGATGGAGGCATATGTTAGTCCCACCATGGGAGATGTCAAGGAGAGGAAAGCTAGATTCAAAGAGAAGGTGTTCATGTTTGTTTCAAAAATCAGTGCAAAAGGCAAATCATGGTTGATGAAATGGGAAACTGAGCACAAAAAAATCAGTTTTATGGTTTGTTCTTCATCCATCTTTTATGTTTGGTATGGATATGTTTTGAGTTTTCCCAAGAAAACTCTTCATGGATGTAGCTATGATGTTCTAAACTCCCACGGCTTCATGGAAAAGAATGTTTGATGAAGATGATGGCAAAGGAAAGCTAAGCACATCTCAGTTTCATTCTTTTGATCTTCAACCATCTTTTATGTTTGTATTTTTGAATGTTAAGAATTTCTTCATAAAAAAAAAAAAGGGTCTTCATGTTTATGTACTTGTAAACCCCATTGCTTTATGGCAAAGAAGTTTGATGGAGGAGCATCAAAGATCAAGCAAAAAATCACAACTCCAAAATGTACCGAAGCAGAAAAGATCCACGGACAAAGCTGCTGTAATGGTGGAGTTGCAGAAAATGTTTAAGGCTCCTGAATTTTTTCAAACAGCAAAAATCTAACAAAGATGAAGCTGATTTGCAGGAGGAGCTGAAATCTTTGAGAAGATGGTACTCGGCAGCAAACAACAAACCAAACCAAAGACAAAACTGAAAATGGCAGATTCAATGTGCTAAAGTAAGATTGTGTTTCTGCAGCTTTAATGCCAAGGAGGAGTTTGTTGGAGCTATGGCATGAAAGCTGAAAATGCAGTGAAATGAGATCGGCTAAATGATGCTGCAACATGACTGCACAGTAGCAGCATGGAGTTTCACATGGGCTACAAGAAATGGCAGCAAACTTCATCATTTTAGTCAATGTTTTAGGTAGTTAATAATTATAGTTTAGGTAGAAAAATATTATTGTTTTATGTGTAGCCTTCCTCTATGAAAAGGAAGGAAGAAATTGATGAAAATTGAGAGAAAGAGAGCATGGTTTCTCCTCTCCAGTTGGGTGAATGTCTGCATCCTTCCATGTTTATGGCTATTATGTTCTATGTTATGATGTGTTGTTTCTGCTATAAATAGCAGAATATCAATAAAAGAAAATGGGTTTTGACCTCACCAAAAGAGGAAACTCCAGGTGTCTCTACTTCTCCTCCAAGTCCTCTCTCAATCCCTCCCTTCTTACCCTCAAAAATCCAACATCCTTGACCTTCCCCTTCTCTTTGAAGATGTTTCTACTAATCTTGCTCTGTGACTAAAAAAAATAAAGGAACAGCACACTTCAATTAGGATAGCAGCAATCAAAAACAGATGCAGTCTACAAAAGCAAAAAGAAAATGCGACTAACTTAGCCATCAAAGACCTCAGGAACAGTAGATATTCTGTTAACAGTGAAAATTCCATTACGTTATGATGCTAATTATGTTGTTCAGTTACATCAAATTCCATTTCCCATGAAAGTGAAAACAAATTAACGAAAAACACAACTTTTATACATAACTAAACAGTAATGATAGGGCATTAAGAATAACCTCATGGATGCACTGAAATCGAACAATCAAGAACAACGAGCAACTCACATTTGTTCTGCATTAGGCCCATACTTGGCAAACTGAACCATAATCTCTCTTCCATCCACAACTCTCCCTAAAAAGGCACGAAAAAACAAATCCAACTCAATCAGTAAAATCAAACAAAATTCGGAAAAAAAAAAGACTAATTTAGGAGTCATGAAAAAAATAATAATAATAACAATCAAGCTTGTCCACCGCCTTCTGTGCTTCGTCTTGGTACTTATACCGTACAAAAGCAAACCCTTAATAATTATATTATTAATAATTAATATATGTTAATTATTGATTTGTTTTAAACATATCATACCATAATTATAAATTTGCCACTGATGTACCCAAAAAAATACCATAATTATAAATTTATAATATTATAAAATTATGTAATAAAATAATTATTCTTTTTTGAGCACAAATCAACATCTATATATTTTTGTAGAACTTATGCACTATTGTGCATCTCTTATTATTTTGCAAAATGGAAAATAAATTCAGTGCATGTAATGATGAAGATCTTGAAGTT